AGGATTAAAATAATAATAGATCTTGCCGTTCATTTTGGCTTATTTTGTTTCATCCGTGAAATTCTTTATATTGCTTCTTTCCAGCACTGCCCCACTGAACTTTTCATAATGATGGAAATTTTGGTATCAGTGCCATCCAGTATGGTAGCCACTAGCCATGGGTGGTTACTGAGCATTTTAAATGTGGCTAATGCAAATGAAGAACCAAATTCCAAATTTTATTTAGTTTCAATTCATTTAAATGTAAATAGCAACACATTGCCAATGGCTACCAAATATTGGACAATGCAGTGCTATACCAATACTAGTCAATGGTTATTTAGAGAAAAGATCTGAAATATTCTTTCTCTCTTTAAGCTTGGATTAGTTTCTCAACTCATCACCCTGTATAATCTCCTAATCTTGATTTCAAAATCATATTATATTTTGATATGTAGAAAAACAAAATGGGAAGAGTTAATTGTACAAAAAGTCACGTGTGCTTTTTTGTGTGGGGGGTGGGTTTTTTTTTTGGTCAGACTTTTTTTTTTTTTTTTAAGTAATCTCTCCACTCAATGTGGGGCTCAAACTCTCACAACCCTGAGATCAAGAGTTGCATGCTTTTCCAACTGAGACAGCCAGGTGTCCCTGGTCAGACTTTTTTTTACATACAACAAGGAAGGTAATTTAGTTGAAAGTTAGGTGCTAAAGAGCTGTATAATGTATCATCCTCATCTGTGGTAGCCAGCCTCCAGGACAGCCTCTACTGACCCTTACTTCCCAGCACATGCCCTTCATTACTCTCCTGCCCAAATTCAATCAAGGCTGGCCCTGAATATGGCTGATGTGATGTGTGAGTTCCAAGGTTGTGTCATAAAAGGCACTGCAGCTTCTGCTTCGGTCTTTCAGATCGATTACTTGCTCCAGAATAAGCCAGTTGCCATGCTGTGGGAATATTCAAGCTGTTCTGTGGAAAAGCCCATGTGGCCAACAGACTAAGCCAACTTGCCAGACATGGGAGGGAACCACCTTGGAAGTGGATTCTCCAGCTCCAAATAAGTCTTCAGACGACCACAGCCCTAGCCTACATCTGACCGCAACCTTATGAGACTGAAACAGAAATGCCCAATTGAACCCTGCCTGAATTCCTGACTCAGAAATTGAGAAATAATACATGACTTCTATTGTTTTAAGCCACTAAGTTTGTTTTTTTTTTAAAGTAATCTCCAAGCCCAAAGGGGGGCTCAAACTCATGATGCTTGAAATGAGGAGCTGCATGCTCCACTGACTAAGCCAGCCAGGCTCCCCAAATACTTTTTTTTAAAAGATCTTATTTATTTATTTTAGAGAGAGAGAGAGAGAAAGTATGCATACATGAGCAGAGGGAGGGGCAAAGGGAGAGGGAGAAGCAGACTCCCTGCTGAGCACAGAGCCAGACGGGGGGCTCAATCCCAGGACCCTGAGATCATGACCTGAGCTGAAGGCAGACGCTTAGCCAACTGAGCCACCCAGGCGCCCCCCAAATACTTTTTCTTTTAAAGATTTTATTTATTTGACAGAGAGAGAAACAGTGAGAGAGGGAACACAAGCAGGAGGAGGGGAGAGGGAGAAGCAGGCCTCCCGTGGAGCAGGGAGCCCGATGCGGGGCTCAATCCCAGGACCCTGGGATCACGACCCAAGCCGAAGGCAGACACTCAACGATGAGCCACCCACGTGCCCCCTTAAATACTTTTTTAAATTTTTTTTAAAGATTTTATTTATTTATTTGAGAGAGAGAGAATGAGAGATAGAGAGCACGAGAGGGAAGAAGGTCAGAGGGAGAAGCAGACTCCCTGCTGAGCAGGGAGCCCGACGTGGGACTCAATCCCGGGACTCCAGGATCATGACCTGAGCCGAAGGCAGTCACTTAACCAACTGAGCCACCCAGGCGCCCTCAAATACTTTTTTTTAAAGTAAATTCTGCCCCAACGTGGGGCTTGAACTCACCACCCCAAGATCAAAAGTCACATGCTCTACCGACTGAACCCACCTAGTGCCCTTGGTGTGTAGTTTTAGGGCTATTTGATATGCAGTAAAAGATAGCTAACATATCATCAATAACAAACATTTTTTTACTACTGTACAAAGTCTCCTGCTTATAGGCTGAACCATATGAGCATTCAAGATAACTTCTTGCTTTATAAGTTTAATGTTTTAACAGGCTGACACGTCATTAACTCTGTATCTTTTCCTATAAAAGTCTTTAAAAAAACTTATTTTTTTAAAGATTTTACTTATTTATTTGGGGGGGGGAGGGAGAGAGAGTCTCAAGCTGACTTTGCACTGAGCAGAGTCCCTTGCAGGGTTCAGATTCCATGATGCCGAGATCATGACCTGAGCCAAAACCAAGAGTTGGGTGCTAAACTGACTGTGCCACCCAGGTGCGTCAGATTTTATTTATTTATTTTAGAGAGAGAGTGAGAGGGTGTGCATGTGAGCAGGGGGAGGGGCGGGGGAGGGGCTTTTCCTATAAAATTCTTTTTTTTTTAAAGATTTTATTTATTTATTTGAGAGAGAGAGAGTGAGAGGGAGAGCCCGAGAGGGGGTAGGGTCAGAGGGAGAAGCAGACTCCCTGCTGAGCAGGGAGCCTGATGGGGGACTCGATCCCGGGACTCCGGGATCATGACCTGAGCCGAAGGCAGTCGCTTAACCAACTGAGCCACCCAGGCGCCCTCCTATAAAATTCTTAAGTGACAAGGAGAATTAGCCAATCAAATATTTAATGAACATCCACTAAGTTCGAGGTATTATTCTAGGTGCTCTGCTGATTAAAAGGTATGATAATGCTATTGATAATAAAAACAATAGTAAAAACGATAGACACTACTAATACTTACTAAACATGTACTTGTCTTAGTGTTCTAGACACTGTACATATATACTCTCATTTAACCTTAACGTATATTGCCAAATGTTTTCCAGAAAGGTCATACCAAGTTACACTCCATCTGCAATGTTTAAGAACAAACTCACTGCAATGTTTACCTACCAGCACTTAAAATTTTCAAAAAAAACCTGATAGGTGAAAAATAGAAGTTTAATCTGCATTTCTATGATTACTAGATCTTAAAATGTTAAGCACATTAAAGTTCTGTCTGACATATGTTACAATGTTGGCATTGTGGGTTTTTTTGACATTTTCATAGTCAAGTCAATCTCTTTGTAATTTCTTCCAACTCTTTTATAATTAAAAGGCTCTTTCCTATCCCTAGATCAATTAAATTTTCACTTGCATTTGTTTTCTAGTTTGTTTAAGGTTTTGTTTTTTACCCATGTAGTTATTTTTTGTGGCAGGACATAGGAGTTTTTTTTCCCCATAATCATGTCTCCTTCACTATTAAGGTTTTCTTTCCCCATTGATTTATGATGCCACCTTTATTATCTTAGTAATTCTTATTACTTGGGTATGTTTATGAGCTTTATAACCCTTTTTCATTGTCTGTTGGTTTAATGTTAGTACTACGCTTTTTTTTTTTAGATTTATTTATTTATGAGAGAGTGGGGAGGGAGCAGAGGGAGAGAGAATCTCCAGCAGACACCTGACTGAGCACAGAGCCCGCTGTGGGGCTTGATCTCACAACCCTGAGATCATGACCTGAGCCAAAATCAAGAATGGCTTAACCAAAACTTAGCCATCCAGGTGCCCCTGTACTACCTTTTTTTTGATTACTAACTTCTATTCATTCATTAAAAACCATCACATTCTCCTCCTGGAAGCCTCCCTGATTCTTCCAAAAAGATATGAATGCTGCCTCCTTTTTCACCTTCATAACATATAAAATTCTCCTTTGTATCACAGTTAACAGGGTTGATTCTATCCAACTATACTCTTGAGAGCAGGGAACAGGTGTATTATATATTCATTAAAATTAGATTATAGGATTTGCATTAAAAGGTAGTGATGGCCAAACAGGTCTGGTTTGACAAAAAAATGAAAACAGTTCCCTCATTTCAACAAGTATCGCTGTGCTGCTATCCATTATGAAAAGATTATAAAGGTGAGTGAACCCTAGATTCTGCCTTAGGGAGTTTGCCACTTAGGGCAAAGAAACGTGAATATACGTGATTAAATGACTAGAGTAAAATAATCATGCACAAGGAAGGAGAAAGGAAAAAAAACTGAGCAAGTAGTGGGCGAAGTTTCATAGTGGGCATACCTATGAGCTGGGTTTATGGTGGTGCTTCTTAAATGTCGAAGGAATTTAATTAATTTTAATGACAGAGTGCATCAATTCAGAACCTTTAACAGGAGTTACATTAATTTATCCTTCTTCGGAGAACTTTTTAAGGAAGCCTAAAGCAGTTTGCGTAGTATGGGCAAGCTGAAGAGCTCTGCTTGGAAGCTCTTTCCCTAGCGCGAATCTGAGATGCCTCGCACAGGACGCAGGTGCGAATAAATGCAAAGTGCGTGATTGGGTGAAAATCAGACATGCGGGTAAGATATAAACCTTTACCAGTATCAGGTACTATAATCCACTCACTTGGCGGTAGTTTAAAAGCTATGAGAGCTGACTCCTTATAAGAGAGCACAGTTCCAGCCACTAGCCTCACCGCTCAGCGCCCGGCAGGCCCAAGGCAGGCCCAAGGCAAGCATAGGCCAGCCCTGGCTAGATGTCAGAGCAAGAACTACTGACGTCATGTGAGCGTGACGTCACCAGCACTGACGCATCTCCCAGGGCGGGGCCTCTCAGCTCACCTCAGAACGCAGTCAGGTCCGCGGAGGAGCGAGTTGACCGTCTTGCGTTCTGCCCCAAAGGTCCAAATAGTCAGCGCTGCGGGAACGGAAGAGCCGAAGCTGCTCAGGAGCTGAAGAAGGGCCACTTCCCTCCTTCCTTGGCCCTTACCGGTGTCCTCTAAGGCCCAGGCGCAGTCCAAGCAGCAGCGCGCTCACGAGCCCGTCGCTTGCGGCGGTCACGCGCGCGCACGCTGGTGCGCACGTTCCCTGAGAACCCGGAAGTGCGAGGGAGAGGAGAGCCACGTGGGTGGAGCTGGGTCGCAGCTCGCATGGGGGAGTCTATCCCGCTGGCCGCCCCGGTCCCGGTGGAACAGGCGGTGCTGGAGACGTTCTTCTCTCACCTGGGTATCTTCTCTTACGACAAGGCCAAGGACAATGTGGACAAGGAACGAGAGGCCAACAAGAGCGCGGGGGGCAGCTGGCTGTCGCTGCTGGCGGCCTTGGCCCACCTGGCCGCGGCCGAGAAGGTCTATCACAGCCTCACCTACCTGGGGCAAAAACTAGGTACCTCCGCCCCGCCCCCCGTGCCCCTTGAGGAGGAAGGAAAGGGGGTGTATTCCCCGATCGGCAGTGGCTTGGGTTCCCTGTCTCACTCCTAGCTTCAGGCTCAACTTGGCACTCCCAGATCTCCTCCCACCGTTCCCTTCCTCCCCTCGGCTTCCACAAACCCCGCCCACCGGCCTCTGCTGCTGATAGATTGGCCGCCGGGGTGGATGCTCTTTTTAGGGCTGTGTCTCAAACCGATGGGTGTATCCATTTTGCTCAGTGCATGGATTGGTGCCATAAATGAAAAGTTAAGCAAACTGTATGTCTTCGCTTTTCTGACAAATGACACTGTAGCCAGAGGAGCAAAACTTGGCAATACAACCTAGTTAGAATTAATGAACACTTTTGTCTGGCTTTTGAAGTTAAGGCCCCTGCGAGTTACAGATGGGGCCCTACCCCTTCTTAGGCCGTCAATAAATATTTAATGGATGAGGAAATAAATGAATACTGGACAGGAAAGGCAAGAAATATGCCTAACACTAGCAAGAGGGGACTTAAGGGGAAAATGGTAAACACTCTTATCATTCCATCGTAAATCTTGCCCCTGAAAATAAGATGCAAGAGCTGATTCAACAGATTTTCACTAGTAGAAACAATTAATATGAGTAGATCAGAAGGAAATAAAATATGTGAAAGCCAAGGGCTATGCATATAAAGTATTACTACTTATAATTACCAACAATCAATATGAATCCCAGAGCTTTCAAAGTTAGTATTTTGGCCTATTTTTAGACCCTTTAATTATCAGAATCACAGGGTCTGGTATGAAGAACACATATACAATAAAGAATAGAAAGGTAAAATTGAGTGCAGATTCCATTTTGATTTTTAGCCCCCAGTTTCTTTATGTTGCCTGAAGGTGGCCATATACATACTGCCTTCAGTAAACGCCCAAAGGGCAGGGCTTTCCGAGATCTTAACTTTTGTCTTAGCTGTTCAAATAATAACTTGTTTAGTACGTTGACTTACTGGCAGAATTGCTCAGATAGAATCACCTTGTGTATTTTTTCCACCCTTTTTTACAGTGGCACTTCTCACAAATTTGCAAGTGCTGTGGCAGTGTTATTATTTCCCTTTCTATAGATTAGCAAATTGTCTATGTGCATTTGTATGGGTAGGTGAGAGGTCTCAAACCAGAATACCTGGCTTTGAACTGTCAGATTGTGTTTTTATCCAGATGATTTATAAAAAAAAATTGGTGTATGTATTATAATTTAAAAATACTTTGTATATACAGGTGACCCTTGAACAATAGGGGTTTGAACTGCATGGGCCCACTAATAGATGGATTTTTTTGATAAATACAGTACAGTACAGTAAATGTACTTTCTCATCTTTCATGATTATCTTAACATTTTCTTTTCTCTAGCTTACTTTACTATAAGAATACAATATATAATACACATAACATATAGCATACATGTTAATCTACTGTTTATGTTATCAGTAAGGCCTCCAGTCGACAATAGGCTATTAGTGATTAAGTCTTGGGGGAGTCAAAAGTTATACTGGGATTTTTGACTGTGTTGGGGGAGGTCAGCTCCCCAACACCCCCTCCACCACCCCTGGCATTATTCAGGGGCCAGCTGTATTTGGAAATGGGGAGGATTCTGGCTATAAAATGAAGGTGGGTAATTTTCTGGCAGTTTTAGTTGTTTCTAGATTCCCCTACCTCATGAAGAATGGTGATTGATCCCAGTGCCATGATTCTTAATTTCTTAAAGCTCATCTATGAGAATTTGATGAAACCCATGGACTTGTATGGAAAATATATGTGTTATACAATTTTGCATTTAATTGGAGACGGTTCAGTTGGATTTCCTAAAGCCTACTGATGGACCCCAGTTTAAAAATCTGCTACTCCAGTTTAAGTTGTATGTGTGTGGTTTTAGGTAAACAACTGGCTGCCCTGTGTGTAAGAGCACGTGTGAGATCATCACTGTCTCTGCCTTGGGTTCTGTGCAATGGCCCTTATTATGTAAAGTGATTAGTTCTGCGTGGACCCCCAGCTTGCATGGATGAGCCTGAAGCCTGCACCTTGAAATTGATCCAGGAGCAGTTTACAGTATGAAACATGCCCAGGCATGGTTCAGGCTCCCAGGTGATCTGTGACTTCTGAGTGAATGTTCTGAGAATTGGCATGTTTAACTTTAATGTCTCATTAACTTATTCACATGTATAGTAAATGTAGGTTCCAGATTTTATTTTTTTAAAGATTTTATTTATCATTCAAGACACACAGAGAGAGAGAGCATGAGCAGGGGGAGAGGCAGAGGGAGAGGGAGAAGCAGGCTCCCCGCCGACCCAGGAGCCAGACGTGGGTCTTGATCCCAGGACCCAGGGATCATGACCTGATCTGAGGGCAGACACCCAACCATCTGAGCCACCCAGGCACCCCGTAGTTTCCAGATTAAAATTTTTTTTTAAAGATTTTTATTTATTTATTTGACACAGAGAGACACAGTGAGAGAGGGAACACAAAGCAGGGGAAGGGCCAGAGGGAGAGGGAGAAGCAGGCTTCCCACGGAGCAGGGAGCCTGATGCAGGACTCGATCCCAGGACCCTGGGACCCTGACCCAAGCCGAAGGCAGACGCTCAATGACTGAACCCCCCAGGTGCCCCCAGATTTTAAAATTTAACTTTGCATCCTACAGTTTTTTGATACTGGAATGTTTGTGATATCAACATGCTTATGACTTTGTGATTTTTTTTTCTTAAAACCTTGTGGAAAAATTTTTGTGTTGCCACTTAAGACATTCCCATGTTCTTCAAATGCTTTGCTAATTAGAATGTATTTTTTTTAAAAGCAAAACAAAAAGTTTTATGTGTATTTTTAAACATTTAAAACATGGTCCAAAAAAGTGAATCTTTTTGACCTCACTCTTGTGACTGGTGTTTATCAGAGACCTTGGCAGTGAATCCTGATTACAGATGCACGTGTGGGCAAACACTTTAGGCAAAGGACAGACCTCACAGGGAGACTTCTGTTCCTGTATTGGCTCAGTTCTGAAAAACTTTGGGTGGACCCCTTACCTTGGAGCTTTCTCTTTCCTCTGAGGGGAGAATATACCTGTTTGGGTAAGGACCAGTGATAAAAATATGCCATCTCAATGCCTTTGGAGGATTTTAGGTCATACTCTCTCCCTTTTGTTTCATTACTGGAGAGTTTCCTCAACCTCTGGTTGCTAGAATTTAGCATGGTAGAAAATGACTTAACTTGAGAACCAATTTTTATAAATTATCATTAACAAGAAGTTGTGGGATAAAATACTCAGACATCTTACATATTCCTTTAATATACTTATTACTTGAAATTTTATCATGTGAGATGGACTGTTGAAATCTTGAGAAATAATGAGGATTCAATACATAGAACCTTCTGGAAATAATTCAAAATAATCATATTTTGTAAATCCAAAAACTTTGTAAAGAGGAAGATGTCTGGTGTCTCTGCTTCTTTGTTTCCCAGTAAGAAGGAAGGCCAGTCCCCATTGGATATTCCTAGCCAGGGTAGTCCACAAGTAGGATTGTGCTCCTGAGAGCTTTGAGAAAAGAGACCTGTTTAAAAGAAATGCATTAGTGGTCTCTCCCTTCTTTCTAGTGGCACTTGACTAGTATGTTAGTGTCACTAAACATACTAGTGATTGATGTTTATTGATAAGCTTTTCAGGGTATTCTTTGTATTTATGTGGTGTTTCCACTCCCTTAGATAAGGGTAATCTGATGAAGAAAGGTATTCCTTTTTCACCCAGATTTAAAATTGTCACCAAGGCCACCCTGTTAACAGCAGCGGTGAGTACACAGTTGAGGTCTGTGTAGCTATCTGTCAAATAGGTAGTTATTCTTTTTTATAGTACATGAAGCTCCCAATTTATCATAGGGTTTTAGAAGCCCAATTAGGTAGTATTTAGAATTTTCTTACATCAGTTATAAATGGAAGAGAAAGGGAGGGATTAGTGTTGTGGAATATGCACTTTGCTCCAGGCACATTACATACCAAATGGTATTTCATTTTGTCTTCTGAGATCTATTGCTAGTTTCATGTTAAAAACAACAACTCAGGCTTAAAGTGGCTGTGTCATTGGCACATCACACAGCTTGTAAATTCAGAAGCTGGAATTTGGAACTAAGTTGGTCAGACTTCCAGAGCTTTTAGGTTTTGTGTGTTTTTTTTTTTTTAGGATTTTATTTTTAAGTAATATGTACACCTAGTGTGGGGCTTGAACTCACAACCCCGAGATCAAGAGTCGCACCCTCCACTGACTGAGCCAGCCAGGCACCCCATAGATTTTGCATGGTACTCTTGTTACCTACCTAACCTAAGAGATTTTTTTCCTTAAACTTGGGCACAGAGGTCTATTTATTCCATACTGTTACTTCACAAAATCTCCAAGGTTAGACTGAAGATAGGCAGGGAAGGGAGGGCAAACCCTTCAGGGTACAGTCCTGGGTGGGATGTGAATGCTGGGGTCAATCCAACTGCACCAAATGGTTTTTGCTGCTATTAGTAGGAGAAATTATTTGAATGCTAGTTACTTTGTTTAGCCATTATATTGAAGAAAACATTTTTAAGTAATGATAGTTTGTGGAGTAAGTAGTAAGTAGGGTGACCAATTTTCTAGGTTTGCCCAGGGCCAGGGGGGTTCCCAGGATGTGGGACTATGTCTGGTTTTCCAAGAAGCCAGGCTTTCAGTGCCAAAACCTAGAAAGTCCTGGGTAGACCGGGACAAGGTGGTCACAGTAGTAGGAAAGGATCTAAGATTTATTTCTTAAAATATAAACTGGGCCATGAACTAAAAAGAACATTGTGAAATGTTTCATTCGTTAAAAGGATATTTTACAGATGCCTTGATAAATAATTTTCACTCCCAACTGATGTGTTTAGACACATGATGTGAGGAGGGCGGGAGGGACAGCCTCTCACTCCCCCTCTCACCATAAATTCATGAAAGCATTCTGTGTATATCAATAGAAAATTTAAACTGTCACCCACCTCTGAGGTTTTTATATATTTCTAAGAATTACTGTTTTAAACCTGCCCTGTTTCTTCTCATTCTCCTAACGTCTTGCCTGTGACCCTTTATTTAGTGGGGTGCAGAGTTGCTTAAGAAAACATCTACGAAGCTGGCTCTATAATTATTAGAAATAGAGTTGATCATGTATTAATACAGAGTAAGGAAATGATGTCTATGCCACTTGATCCTTTTTAACTGTTGAAAGGGATGTATTTGGTCTTTTTTTTTTTTTTTTTTAAGTAGGGTCCCTCCCCAACATGGTTTTGAACTCATGAACCTGAGATCAAGAGTCACATGCTCTACCAACTGAGCCAGCCAGGCACCCCTGGTCTTTTTTTTTTTTTTTTTTTTGCTGATTTCCTTTGGAACCCGTGTGTTACAGCAGCAGTTATTTATAATTGCTTCCTGCTCTTAATCATTCACAACGTGGTGCTTATTTTGTTATAACCTATAGTGTCAACCTTGTCAAGGGTACTAAAGATTTCTGGGTGCCTGGCTGGCTCATTTGGAGGAGCGTGCAACTCTTGATCTCAGGGTCGTGAGTTCAAACCCCATGCTGGGCGTAGAGCTTACTTAAAAAAAAAAAAAAAAAGTACTACAGATTTCTTTTTTTCCCCTGGAATCCCAGTAGTCTGTGTTCTTGTGTAAGGGAGATACATGTATGTGTATTTTCCATTTTCTGGTATGTCTTAAAAGGTAAGATTCAAAGGAAAATGCAACTCTAATGCAGAAATAAAATTTTCTGATTTATCAGGAATAACAACAGTGTTTTCCAATCGGGTATTCTCTTTTGTTTTAAATATATGTATGGGGAAGAAGGGCTATTTAGATCCAGGCTGATATCACCATCTAGGTCAATTATCCTCTGAAATAAAGGTGAATCCTCATTGAAATGGGGTAGGGGAGAATCGATGCCTGGCTAAAGAAATCATACAGAGGTCTGTTGCTACACTAATGAGTTGCACCAGGCATTCATTTCTTATTCCTCAGTGAAATTATGAATCACAAAATATTTAAATTCCAATCGTAGGAGTCAGAGAATATGGTAGATGATAATAACGCCCTGAGCTCAGCGGGCTCCACTCCTTTCCTTTTGAAGTCTGGGAGGTGTTTTGTCTTTCTGGTTTCTCTCCCTTACTTGTCATGTGCTAATGTCATTTGCCTCCCAAGGGGGCCAGTCCTTCTTCAGCAGGAAGGATTCCATCCGAACCATCTATACGTCCCTGCACAACGAGCTGAAGAAGGTGGTGACTGGCCGCGGCGCCCTGGGCGGGACCGCCCCGCACGTGGAGGAACTGCTTTCCCATCTGTCAGAGCAGCTCTGCTTCTTCGTTCAGGCCCGCATGGAGATCGCAGACTTCTACGAGAAGATGTACGCCCTCAGCCCGCAGAAGTTCATCAACGCTGAGGAGCTCGTTGGCCTTTTGGACACCATCCTCAAGAAATACAGCTCCAGGTGAGTGTAGGTGAGGAGGGCGGGAGGGACAGCCTCTCACTCCCACGCACACGTGCTCCGTCCCGGCACGCTTATGAAGAAAATCTAGGATGAAATGCCTGCGAAGGGGAGAAATCGTCACTTTACATTTTGTACATACTAATTAAGCAACAGGTATACATGAGGTACCTTCTTTGGGCTTCATTAACACCATGCTGGGTGGATACTTCTCCAAGCAATAGCCAAAGACCAAGAATGAAGTAATCCTTAAAAGATATATTATAACTGATTTTGCTGCTTATAAAAGAGTTCACACAAGGGGAGAATTGTATGTAAAATATATATATATATATTTTTACAAACCATTATTCAAATAAGTGTCCCTTTCAAAGTAATCACCTTGGCAAGTTATCTACTTAGTCCTCAGATGTAACCATTATTTATCATGTGTTGGAAACTTCTTCATAATTGCTTTCGGTGCCTGTGGTGTAGTTTTGGTTTTGTTTTAAACTTTCTTAGTGGAGACAGGCATCTGTGCTTTTGAGGAGGGCATACTTAAAATTTTTTAATAGTCAAAAGGCTATTTGTAGCCAATTTAATTTTTTTTTAAAAAAAGATGTTGATCAGCTGGAAAACTTGTATTTGAAAGAAATTGCTCCTTTTACTTGGAAAAAAAATGAGCCTGGCTATAATGTATTGCTCACTTCCTGAGCCAAAAAACAATATGAAAGGAATTTGAGAAGCATTGTGTGTTATTATTTAGCTGTAGAAAGGAATGAAGTATTGATACATGCTACAACACGCATGAACCTTGAATAATTACGCTATGTGAAAGAAACCAGTCACAAAAGATCACATATAGTTATCATTCCAGTTATAGGAAATGTCCAGAATAGGCAAAGTCATAAACACAGAACATAGATTACAAATTACAGACACAGAAAATGATTGTCAGGGTCTAGGGGGGAAGGTGAGAATGGGGAGTGACTGCTAATGGATATGGGGTTCCTTTTTGGGGGGTCATAGACTATTCTAAAATTAGATAGTGGTGATGGTTGCACAACTCTGACTATACTAAAACCATTGCATCCTATACCTTAAAAGAGTATACTTAATGTATATGATTTAAGTAGTAAAGCTATTATTAAAAAAAAGAAATAAAGCTGTGCAATGAACACACAAACATCCTTCCCCTGGACTCATATTATTAAAATGTTGTCACGTTTGCTTTATCTCTCTCTGTATATAATTTTATCTCCCCCTCCCTGTACTGTTTGGACGTCAGATGCAAACATCATGACACTCTACCCCCAAATACTCAGATTGTATCTTCAAAGAACTATACAGAACTGTAGCATAGTTTTCTCACTCAGGAAATTTAGCACTGATTTTTTTCTACCATCAGCAGTAAGTAGTCCGTATTCAGATTTCCCCAATTGTCTCCAAAATGTCCTCTATGTTATTTTTTATTGTCATGTGTTTTCTATTTTTATGATATATTCTAAATTTTTATCTATTTTAGTAGATAATACATTAATATGGCTCAAAATTTATAAAGTATGAAAGAATACATAGTAAAAAGTGCCCCTGTTCTTTATCTACTTAATTCCTTTCCTAAGAGGCAGTGAATGTTGTTAGCAAGTTCTTCCTACCATTCTTGAGAGATAGTCTGTACGTACACATTTTCTTTTTTTAAAACATATTTTACGTGTTAACAAATTTTCTGTTTGGAACTCTTATTTCTTCATTTTTTTAAATAAAATAATTTTTTGAAATCCAAAAGCAAAAATACAGTTGGAGATATGACTCTCAAAGGGAAGAGATCTCATGTGGTGATTCCCAAATGCTAACGTGAAAGTGGTTTACTGAACCATTTGGGAAGCTTAAAAGAAAGAACCATACTTGCCCCCTGCCCCTGCCTTCCCCTTCTTCCCCGAGAGGGTAAGATTTAGTGAATCTCGATTGGGTGCCCAGAAACCTGTATGTTTTCAAAGTTCCCTGTGATATTGAAAATAGTCTCCGTGAAAAAATTGTTTGGATAAATAAGAGAAAGGTGCCAACACTGGGATAGACTAGGTATTGAACCTTAAACAGTGTGTGAATGCATGTGCGTGTGTGTGTCTCATAGGAATGATTATTACTATTTAATCATTTTTATTTGATTAGATTTGTGATCTATCCTTTTTGCACCTTCTTTGAAACATCCCACTTCCCAGACCTTTGAGGATTTCTTTCATTTCCTACAAAAGCCCAGCTTTCATTCTTGAAGCTTTTAGGGACTTGGCTCTACCAGGTACTGAGTGGACACTGATGGAATCTGATGGAGCCAGGGGCGCAGTATCACCCCAGGTCAGGGTGTTTTCATCTGTCTCTATTTTCCACCCATGCTGCCTTTATCTAATTAATAGGGAATTACTGATTATAGATATCTCCAACCCTAAAAATTATCTTAATTAGAAACTTTGGGTTAATTTGAACATAAATTCCTTAGGTAAAAAATTCTGAAAAGTTGAAATTCTGTATAATATGTTGATTTTGGGGGGGAAGTGGAATTATTTTAGGTATAAATTAACATACCTTGCCTTTTGCCAGGATAATATCCTTTTTTCTGTAGACCTTCCTCCTCCTCCTCTTCTTCTTCTTCTTCTTCCTTTTGATTTGGCATCTGTGCTATATCAAACATACTTCTTTCATGGTTCCAGTGTTTAGAGAAGTAATTCATATTATGTATTGTATTGAAAGAGTTAATCCTTTTCCCAAAGGACCCAGTTGATCTTTCAGGAAATATTTCTTTGCCCCAGTATATCTGATCCATGTCAGAACGCTTCTAAAATATTGTGTGAATCGTTCATCTTTCAAATGATGAAATGCTTTTGTATTAAAAAATTAACAAGCGTGATGTATAACGTGGAGTCTAAACCTGTGGCCCTGATGGGAGATGCAGAGTCTATGTGAGTTATTGCAAGGCCCAGTCTGCTTTCATGGGAAGCATGTTTTGTTTGTTTCCTTTGGAAGCCAGTTGTGTTCAGAGTAGAACAGTATTAAAGGTTTCCTCTTTTGGCAAACTTATTACATTATTAAGCAAATGTAAATTATTGCTTACAAACCACAGTCATTGTGATGCTGCATTTCAAATTGAATAATTAACATTAATCATACAAGTTTTTATTGTGTGCCCTTAGAAGGAAGAATATGAATTTAGCTCATACAGGATCAGGATGTCTACTATTCCTTGAATACTTTTGAGGAGAGGTAGAACTTGGGTTTTGTTTTGTTTTTTTTCCCCAAGGAAGCATCAATGGAACATTTTTTGATTCTGTAGAATTCATTTTGAATTTACTTACCTCTTTTGTACAGTGGGCATAAAACAAGATTCTGGTTAATTTTTCTATTTCATAGTTAAAGCTGGTTATAAATGCAAAATATTTACTCTCCTAAGTCAAGAGTATAATTTTAAGAAGTAATTCTTTTAAAGAACAGAGCAAGTATTTATTCATTCCAGACAGCTTTTAAAAATCCCTCTGTTGGGGGCGCCAGGGTGGCGCAGTCAGTTAAGCATAGGACTCTTGGTTTCAGCTCAGGTTGTGATCTCACATCCGGTTCTAAGATTTACCCTGCCCACATTAGGCTCTGCGCTCAGCATGAGTCTGCTAATACTCTCCCTCACCCTCTGCCCCTCCCCGCTGTGTGGGGGCACATGCGTGTGTGCTCTCTCTCTCTCTCTCAAATAAATAAATAAATCTTTAAAAAAAATTCCTCTCATGTGGCAATAATATACCATTAAGTGACTTATATCCTTTAACCATGATTTTACAGATAGATTTTAAAGAACGTTTCTGTTTGTTTTTTTTTTAAAGATTTTACTTTGAAGTAATCTCTACATCCAACGTGAGGCTCAAACTTACAACTCAGAGACCAAGAGTCACACTCTCTACCGACTGAGCCAGCCAGGCACCCCAAAGAACATTTTTAAAAATTGAGTTACAGTGAAGTTTCTCTTTGCATTTTAGGGAGCACAGTTTTTTGATCTGAATGCTTCTGATGACAGAATTCTTACCAAGGGCAGAACTGTGATTGATTTAGGCCTTGTGCCCTTTTTCCTTCAAGAAAAGATTTGTGATGATAAGTGAAATTAACAGTTGTGTGTGTATAGTTCAACAAGGTGAATTTTCGCCCATTGAAAATTTCATAAGCAAAACCAACAATAGTGCCATTTCTATGGGACATAGTCTACTCTAGGCATTCAGCTTGTCTAAATCTTAACAGTGAGGGCTGAAGGCCTTCTGTGATCTTGCCCCAGCCAATCTTTTCAAATTTATCTAAGGCCCATCAAATGCTTTAAATTGTACCCAAACTCTTAGTAAAAAGGAAGAAGCTTCAAAGAGAATATTTTCAGGATTTTAAGCAGAAGCCAAAAAACAATCCATAATCTAATGTGTTCCCCATAAGTATTTGCCATTTCCTACTTTGGTTCATTATTTGTTTTGCCTAGAATGTCCTTGAACTCGGAGGGGAGGAAAAATACCTTCTACCCTTCTAAATTCTCAACGGGGGGGCCCTTTAACAAAAGACAAATTACCAAGAGAAGAACACACCAGTGTATTTAATGTCAGTTTTACATGTCAGGGGAGTCTTCATAATATAAAGAAGACACAAAGAAGCTGTTAAATCTGTGTTTTTATGGTAGATTTTGTTAAAAAACAAAATTCATCTGAGTCCATTTAAAGATGTAAGAGTTGTGGGAAAATGTGCTAGGATGAGAAAGGGTCTGAGCTAAAGCTCCGGGAAACAGCAAGGCCTGTTCTTCAGATTCCTCTCTGTGTCCCTTGTGTTTGGAGATAAGGATGCTCCCTTCCGTAGAGTAAGGGGAAAGGCACGTCTCACTTGAGGGTTTTATGACCTGTTTCAGAGGAGGGTCAGGAAATCTTTCCTGTATATATTTCTCAAATTTATTCAACTTAAGGGGCGCCTGGGTGGGTCAGTTGGTTAAGCGGCTGCCTTCGGCTCGGGTTAGGATCCCAGGGTCCTGGGATCAAGCCCCATATCGGGCTCCTGGCTCAGAGGAGAGCCTGCTTCTCCCTCTGCCTCTACCCCTGTTCATGCTCTCTCTCTCTTTCTATCTCTGTGTCTCAAATGAATAAATAAAATCTTAAAAAAAAAAAAAGAATGGGGCCAGAAATTTAAGCCCTCACCTTTACACGGCCGAATCTTAGCTGCTCTTGAAGTTGCATGGCTCAATTCAAATTCTGTCTCCCTTATGGCCTGCATAATCTTTCAACCAAAAGAAATTGCTTTTTCTAAAATCTTATTTTGTGGGCGCCTGGGTGGCTCAGTCGTTGACCGTCTGCCTTCGGCTCGGGTCATGGTCCCAGGGTCCTGGGATCGGGTCCCACATTGGGCTCCCTGCTCGGCGGGAAGCCTGCTTCTCCCTCTCCCACTCCCCCTGCTAGTGTTCCTGCTCTCACTGTGTCTCTGTCAAAAAAATAAATAAAATCTTTTAAAAAAATAAATAAAATAAAATCTTATTTTGTACCTCTCATAAGAGATGTGTTTACTTCCAACTTGTATCCATTATAAGTACCTCCTACCTTGGGAAGTCTCTATAAGGCAAACCTTTGGCTAATGCATCTTTATAACTTCAATGTATTTTTATCTAAAAACTAGTAAAAATTTTATTTTATTTATTTATTTATTTTTAAAGATTTTATTTATTTGACAGAGAGATAGCGAGAGCAGGAACACAAGCAGTGGGAGTGGGAGAGGGAGAAGCAGGCTTCCTGCCGAGCCGGAAGCCCGATGTGGGGCTCGATCCCAGGACCCTGGGATCATGACCTGAGCTGAAGGCAGACGCTTAACCAACTGAGCCATCCATGTGCCCCTAAAAACTAGTAAAAAAATTTTTTTTTAAGTATTTTATTTATTTATTAGAGAGAGAGAGAGACATCGAGAGAGGGAACACAAGCAGGGGCAGAGAGAGAGGGAGAAGCAGGCCCCACGCCGAGCAGGGAGCCCGATGCGGGGCTCGATCCCAGGACTCCGGGATCATGACCCGAGCCGAAGGCAGACGCCTAATGACTGAGCCACCCAGGCGCCCCAAAACTAGTAAAAATTTTAAATGAGAAGAGACAGTAGTTTTTTTTTATTGTGGTAAAGTATACATAACGTAAAATTTACCATTTTTAAGAGTATAATTCTGTGGCATTTTGTACATTCACATTGTGCTACAGATTTGTTTTTAATTGTTTTAATCTTACTTCTAACATGAATGGGACCTGGATACTTCTTTTGGAAGGAACTCCTTGATGTGGATTTGTGAAGGAGAGAGTTCTCTCTCTCTCTCCATCCCCCTCTCTTTCTTTTGGCTTTTTTTAGAGCAGATGTTCTCTGCAAATAGTTGTCCATTTATTATGTATTCAGACTCTTTCAAGCTTGCTGCCATAGTTGAGGTGTGTATTTTTGGATTACAACAATTTAACAGATCCCCCTATAGTGTGAGTTGTAAATGGGTATGAGGCACAGAGCAGAATGGAAATGGGGAAATGATACATCATAATGCTAATCGCAAAGTCTTGCTAGAATAACATTAACATGAATTTTTAGCTCTTCTTAAGGATGAAAAATAGCTTCGACATTCACATTCATCCTAATAAATGTTGAACATTTAAACACTTTTAGTATATGTTTATGGAAGAGCTTGTTCAGAATTCTTTCTGAAGATTTGTACAGAGAATTCATGTTCTTTCAAGGGGAATGTTGGATATAAATGATGATTTCCAATGAAGCAGAAAAATAACTTGAGTATTGTTATTTGTGGTAGAATTTTCTTCAATCTTATACCGTTTTCCTGTTATTGAAAGTCTTACTGTGTTCCAAGTTCCTTGGCAAATTTTCTTGATACCCATCATTATAGAATCTTGTGATGCTTTGTGGTCATTAAGTGTCAAAGAGCCTAAAGGCTAAGGTGGTAGGAGCATTTCTTAAAATTCAAAGATTTTGAAACATGCTATAGTGAAGTTGTGTGTGTACATGTGTATTAGACTTTCTTAAGTTTATTTCAAAGCATGTAATGTCTGAAGAGTCCAAATTAATTAAGCGCATGAGCTAGAGGATTTGAAATCTAGTTTTATCTTTCTGATTCTTTTTTCTTAAAGATTGATTTATTTATTTTAGAGAGATAGAGAGTGCCAGAGACAGCGAGTAGGGGGAGGTGTAGAGGGAATCTTCAAGCAGACTCCCTGCCAAGCACGAAGTCTGATGTGAGGCTCCATCTCACGACCCTGAGAGCGTGACCTGAGCCGAAATCAAGACGTGGACACTTAACTGAGCCACCCAGGCACCCCTATCTTTCTGATTCTTTGAATGTATTATTAGGCTGAGACCCTCCACCGATGTTTTAGCTTCCCTCTCTTGAAAGATATTGAAGGTAAAATGCTGGTAATAGAAAAAAAATAATGTGTGGTCATGTGAGTAACTATATCCTTATCACATGATAATGAGTTTCTATCTTATAATATCTAACCTAGTATGGGCTCTCTAATTAATGTTTAATAATCCCTCTAATTAACATTTATTTTATTTTATTTTTTTAAAGATTTTATTTATTTAGTTAGAGAGAGAGAGAGCATGAGGGGGGGAGGGTCAGAGGAAGAAGCAGACTCCCCGCTGAGCAGGGAGCCCGATGTGGGACTCGATCCCGGGACTCCAGGATCATGACCTGAGCCGAAGGCAGTTGCTTAACCAACTGAGCCACCCAGGCGCCCCTCTAATTAACATTTAAATGGATTTTTTAACTCCAGCTATATTTGTGATGATTTTTTTTCTTAACTTTTTCATCAATAACCAGCATTTTCCGCTTCAGGGGGGCCAAAACAGCCATATGAGAAGATTCTGTCTTGTTGACAGTGAAACAAGTAATTTACATGGATTCAGACCTGTAAATCAAATCCTGTGGTACCTGGGGCATAAGATATCAGTAAATACTAGATTTTTGCCCACATCTTTAAAATAGGGTCACTTGCAGATGCTTTGGGTCTTTGGGAAGAGTATAAGGGCCTGGTGTTGGCTCCTTGAGAAGGAGGGTGCACAGGCCAGGCAGACACTCAAACTCCCCTGGCATTTCTCACAAGAAGCAGCAGCCTAGGCAAGAAAGCTCTAAGTGGTCCAGACAGGGAGGACTCTCCTTAGCCATTGTTACAGAATTTCATTTTGATCACAAACAACAGAATCGATGAGGCAGAAAGTAGGGTTCAAATCTTAACATAGTTGGTTGCCATGTTTCCTGAATCTCTAGTTTGTGCCATATGTTCTAGAGATAAAGGAGCGAAGGGAATAGGCAGCTTTTACTTTTCCTCAGGGAGGAGCTCAAAGCAAAGGTGACCGTATGTCCCAGTTTGTCTGACAAATTATGTGATGAAGCTACTCAAGTGGAAGACAGGTATTAAGAAACTAGAGGATACGATTGGGGTCACCTGACTTAGTCTGGAGGTGAACAGAGAAGACATCTCTAAGGAAATGACTCTGAAGAGGAGACTTGAAACATCAGAAAGAACTTGCTCTCGCTTGCCTCAGGGTCTCTGCACTTGGCCTTTTCCCCCCTCTCCCTGGAAGGGAGGTACTCCCACATCCGCTCCCCTCCTGCTACCCAATATTACTGCTACCAGCGAATTAGAAAAAATGTTTTACAAATAGCAGGTAGCAATCCATGAGTCATAGAGTTAATTTAGTGAGTAGTAATCCAATTTAAAACATATAAATGTTGAAATGTTAGATTTTTGTGATTTAACTCCCATTTTGTTTTTTAACTGCGATTAAACATGCAGAAAATTTGGGAACTGGGATTGAATAAAGGCTTGCCTTATGGAGTTACTATGGAGTTACCATAATACTTTGTGGAGTTACTATGAACGTCAAATAAGTTTATGTGTGTTACATACACATTTAAGAGATGTTTTAGTGACTTTTTTTTACCTCTGCCTCTTTAGGAGCACATCTTGGAAAAAAGATGCCTTGTTTTGATGATTATGTTAGTTATACAATTCCCAGAATAAGTAAAATAGGCTCGGAAAAAAGTACAGCTAATTTAATTTCTTTGTATTTGAAAGGAAGTTAGCTGCTACTCTCATTTTTTATTTAAATGTCAGGCGATTTCCATAGGAGGATATGATGCTGACATAATTCTGAGATGGTGAAGTTATGTCAGAACAACTTTTTATTTATTTTTAAGTGTATTATTTTATTTTTTAAATAAATAAATAATTTATTAATTAATACTCCATACTGGGCATGGGGCCTACTATGGGGCTTGAGCTCATGACCCTGAGATCAAGAGCTGACCTGCGATCAAGAGTTGGACGCTTAACTGACTGTGCCACCCAGACGCCTCAGAACAACTGTATAAATGAATCGACATGGAGCCCTTCAGTCTTTCCTTTCCCTGCCCCCAAACGTAATATTATTCGTCTGGCCACAGTGTGTTGTTTTGAAGGTAGGAAATGCCCACATGGAGTAACATTTCCACTTACTTCTATTAATTTCCCTTCCCCTCTAGATTTCACCACCCCATCCTCAGTCCTTTGGAAAGCAATTTCCAGCTGGAAGTGGACGTCCTGAGTCATCTCCTGAAGGCCCAGGCTCAGGTCTCGGAGTGGAAGTTCCTCCCGTCTCTGGTGAACTTGCACAGTGCTCACACCAAGCTGCAGACTTGGGGCCAGATCTTTGAAAAGCAGCGGGAGACCAAGAAACATCTGTTTGGAGGGCAGTCTCAGAAGGCCGTTCAGCCCCCACACCTTTTCCTCTGGCTGATGAAACTCAAAAACATGCTTCTTGCCAAGTTTAGCTTTTACTTTCACGAGGCACTGAGCCGACAAACGACTGCTTCAGAAATGAAAACGTTGACTGCGAAAGCCAACCCAGACTTTTTTGGAAAGATTTCCAGCTTTATTAGGAAGTATGACGCTGCCAATGTGTCCTTAATCTTTGACAACCGAGGTTCTGAGAGCTTTCAGGGTCACGGCTATCACCATCCCCATTCCTACAGAGAGGCCCCTAAGGGAGTGGACCAGTATCCAGCCGTGGTGTCTCTGCCCAGTGACAGGCCCGTCATGCACTGGCCCAATGTCATCATGATCATGACAGACCGCATGTCCGAACTGAACAGCTTGGAAAAGGTGGTCCACTTCTATGATGACAAAGTTCAGAGCACCTACTTCCTAACCCGCCCGGAACCTCACTTTACCATTGTTGTCATTTTTGAATCAAAGAAATCTGAAAGAGACTCCCACTTTATTTCCTTCCTCAATGAGCTCTCACTTGCCCTTAAGAACCCCAAAGTTTTTGCGAGTCTGAAGCCTGGCTCCAAAGGCTAGCAGGTGGTTTGTGTGAAAGGTTTGCAAGACTGGAAAGTTTGCTCCTAATTGCTCTAATGATCTGCTGTGGTCTGTGATTAGAGTTTCCATCCATTCATGCTTCTTTCAGAGCTAAATTAAAGACAAATCCTCCATAATTGTGTCGCACACTTATAAGCAATTAAGGCCAATTGAATTAAGTATCCAAAGAGTAATCTAGGAAGTGATCATGGCCACTGGGTCTCTCCATGGTACAGCAGAGTACCTACAGTATTTTCTTCTATTTTCCTGTGTTTCATGTAGACTGAATATTTATTGGCCTTTGTTTGTTCTTTCCACCTGTTTTATATTGTTCTAAACTTTGTTTTAATGCAATTCCAAATGCCTTCTCTTTTCCCCTCCTTCCAGGACCAGTAAATGGGATAAGATATTAAATGGCCTTTTCAGAATCAAGGACTGTATGTTTTTTTTTTTTAAAGATTTTATTTATTTATTTGAGAGAGAGAGAATGAGAGATAGAGAGCACGAGAGGGAAGAGGTTCAGAGGGAGAAGCAGACTCCCTGCTGAGCAGGGAGCCTGATGTGGGACTCAATCCCGGGACTCCAGGATCATGACCTGAGCCGAAGGCAGTCGCTTATCCAACTGAGCCACCCAGGCGCCCAAGGACTGTATGTTTTCTATCTCATAAATTAGCAAATTAACATGAAATTAGTTTTATGAATCTCATCAACAAATTGATAATTTTGGATGGGTTCTTTGGGGGTGATCTACACACCTAACTGCATTTGTGTTTACCCCTATAAAGTATGAATTTTTCACTCTTTGAAAGTTAGTATGAGCCATAATGTGGGGTTTCTTCACTCTTTGGCATATTTATCTACTTGGCTTTCTGTTTATCACCTTTCTGCTGAGATGTATGTTCACGTTTGGCTCCACTCCCTGCTTATTCTTAGGCTGAAAAAGCATGTAGTCTTTGTTTTTCAGCCACTTTTAGACATTCATGTGACTTAGCCTGCTTTTATAATATCAAAATATTGGTCTCAATACATTGTACTTGCTAAAAATCAATTGTGCATTCAAAAGACCTCTTCATAGTTGAGTAATCAAATCAGTACTTAATTTAAGCACATCTGAACTTGGGTTTCAGGACTGCCTCCTCCAAATTATTCTTAGAAGCAGTGATCCATCATAACACATGCTGCCTTAACACTTTCCTTCGGTAGGTGTTCGTGGGGAAGTAGATGGACTCGTGAAGGCCTAATGGACTGTGGGGAACTTCATTTCTAGGTTATTGATTCAGAATAAAAATAAGCCACAAAGAATCATTGAGTCGTTACTATCTGATAGTTCCTTCAACCCTTGGATGCGACGTAATGATCGGATTGGTCCAGTTTCTCATGATTGCACAGAGCCAGGGTTTTCCTGGGCTGCCCCAGCAGGTGAGCTGGCGGTGGGCAGAGTTGCTCCCAGCCTGTGCCAGGAGGCCTGCCCACCTCAGGCAGGACTACGTGCTGGGAGGATCTACTGGCCTATTTTCTATTTCTTTTCTTTCTTTCTTTCTTTATTAAAATAAAAGTCACATATGTAAAAAGCCAGTTTGCTTTAAATAGAAAGTAGTGATTTCTGCATTTTATTCACTCAGGTTCTATAAAAATCTGAACAACGTTGAACTTATATAAAACACTGAAAACAATTGGAACTAAAAAGTCAAATCATTTTTCTTCCCTTTTGTGTTTTGCCAAGAAGCTAAAAAATATTCCTTGGTGTTCATGGATTATTTTTTTTCCTGGATAAAACCACCATTAGCCTTAATGATGTGGTCTCCCATGTACCTAAAAGAAATATGTTTCAGTGGAACATGGAAGAAGAATGTAAATAAAGCTTATATATAATATTTAAATAACCAGTCCTTGTCTAGAACATATTTTAAATGTATATTTATTTTTAAACATATTTTGGTTCAAGCCAAGAAACAAAGTGATTCTACTCTTTGTCCTCTAAAATCAGTAATGAAATGATCTGTAAAGTCTGTGTTTTGCTAATTGGAAGAGTAAATCTGCATATTTTCTGCAGACTGTTTACTTTGAAATCCACAGCTTGATCAGTTTTTATGTGTAACCAGGAATGTGGTCAACACTTACCAAGTTTGCCAACAAGTCCATGAAGGAGTGTTCACTTGAGGATGCTGTTTGGACTCAGGGTGAACGTTCACAGCTCTGTCCTCTTGGGTCCAACCTGGTATCTGACGACATCATTTTAGGGACTGTGTGAAAATACAGTTGTCCCCCCCTTATCTGCAGTTTTGCTTACCTCGGTTTCAGTTATCCGCGGTCACCACAGTCTGGAAGCTGAAAGCCGGGGCTCCTCCTCACGAATCATCAGGAGGTCAGTTGTAGCTTCTTGCTACATCACAATGCCTGGGTCATTTCTATCACTTTATCTTGCTGCGTCAGCATTGGATCATCTCCCGTCATCCCAAGAAGGGTGAGTACTATGCAAGAAGAGATTTTGAGAGAGAGAGACCACATTCACATACCTAGGATTACAGTATAGTGTTACAATTGTTCTGATTTATTATTAGTTACTGTTAATTTCTTATTGTGCCTAATTTATAAATTACACTTTATCATAAGTATGTATGTATAGGAAAAATCATAGTATATACAGAGCTTGGTACTATGTACAATTTCAGGCATCCGTTGGGTGTCTTGAGCATACTCCTTGTGGGTAAGGGGGAGACTAGCTGAATTCTGAACTGAGGAGCCAATACCCTTTATATTATTTCTTTGTGCATTTGGACATCTTATAGAAAATTTACTTACAAGAAAGAAAATAGTTGGTAACTCACTGCACTCCTGTAGAGACACTCATGGGATCGTTAGAATACATCCACCCTTTGATCTAGCAGCAAACTTGCCTTTTTTTGGCTTGTCAGCCTCTGAGCTTGACTTTCTTACCTGTAAAATGGGGATAAGGAAATGTGGGCTGCTTTTTTCAAAGGATATGTAAGAATGGAATGACATCATGCGTGTAAAAAAGGCTTTGCAAGATTACTTGGGTTTGAAAACTAAATAAAAGATGGACCATTCTTTCCTTAAACTTTTTTTTTAAAGATTTTATTTATTTATTTGAGAGAGAGAGAAAAACAGCATGAGAGGGGAGAGGGTCAGAGAGAGAAGCAGACTTCCCACTGAGCCAGAAGCCCGATGCGGGACTCGATCCCGGGACTCCGGGATCATGACCTGAGCCAAAGGCAGTCGCTTAACCAACTGAGCCACCCAGGCGCCCTCTTTTCTTAAACTTAACACCTCTCCTGTTACCGTTTTTCTCTTCAGATCTGGGGAATACGTGTGCTTGCTTAGTCACTTTGTTTGAACAGTACTTAAAGAGCTAGTTTAGAAGAGAAGGCAGATAAATGCCTAACCCACTCATCCTCCTTTCCCTCTCTCCTTATTTTAGAATCCTTGTGGTTCTTTGTTCATAAACTTTTATGGTTGGTTGATAGCATCACTTCAGTTCTATATTCTTACTGATATTTTTCTTTTTGGGGGGGGTCCGGTTGCTCTTTTAATTGCCAAGTGAGGTGTGTTAAAATCTCTGTGATTGTAGGTGTCTTCCTTTATTTCTGTCAGTTTTTTTTTGGCATTTTGTCCTTTAAAGCCATTTTCTTAGGCCCATAGACATTTTTAATTTTTCTTTCTCAGATATCAGCCATGTTATCATGATGAAGTTTCCTGCTTTATCTCCATTACTACTCCTTGCTTCGAAGTGCATTTTGCCTGTTTTCTTATGACCCAGCTTGCTTATGCTTACTCTTCATATGGTATGTCTTTTCCTATCCTCTCACTATTTGTATCTTTATTTTTAAAGTGTCTATGGTAAGTAGTAGAGAGAGAAGACTGATTAAAAAGAGCAATAACCACCTCTGTGTGCTGCAATCTGACCATCTCTGCCTTCTGACTGAAGTGTTTAGTTCATTTCATTTCATACCTGTGAAGTTTCTACAATCAGGACTTTGCTGATGGTATCTTTAGCCATCACTGAACATACTTTTATATCTTTTTTTTTCCTTTTATATTGGAAGTTAGATTAAGAGGTTTGATCAGATTTCTTTCCTTTTTCTCTTTTTTTTTTTTTTTGGAGTGACTATTGTGTATTTTATTGGGAGGCAGCTAATACTTGGCATTACCAGCCCGGTGGCCCCTAACTCATTATTTTAAAAACTGGCAAGTGGGGTGCCTGGCTGGCTCAGTCGGTGGAGCATGCGACTCTTGATCTCAGGGTTGTGAGTTCAAGCCCTACATGGAGCTTACTTAAAAAAAATTAAATCTTACAAAAATGATAAAATAATGAGTTGTTTAGTATCTTCTAGAGGTACTAGGGAGTTTTTAAAGAAATATATAAGAATATATGAGGATTTCTAGCTTCTGCCTCTTAAATTTAACCCCAAATTTGAAATAAGGCAGCCATTTTTTCCCCTTATCACAAGACACTTTAATGTAAATGTTATGATCTTCCTTTATTTCTTCCTCATGGTTCGTTTTCTTCTCTCTTAATTACTGTTGATTATTTTCCTCTGCTTTTCTCCTTCCTCCCTCCCTTAGTTTCTAATATCTTCCTCACCAATTCCACTTAGTCACTTTTCCCCATGCCTCAGGACGCCAGGACATAACCCCAGGGGTCTCTGACCCAGTTTTGAAAAGCCATACTGGAGGGGCGCCTGGATGGCTCAGTCGTTAAGTGTCTGCCTTCAGCTCAAGTCATGATCCTAGGGCCCTGGGATCGAGCCCCACATTGGGTTGGGAAACCTGCTTCTCCCTCTCCCACTCCCCTGCTTGTGTCCCTGTCAATAAAGAAATAAAATCTTTAAAAAAAAAGAAAAAGAAAAGCCATACTTGAACGTATTCATCTCGATTGTTTTTACAACTAGTTAGTCTTTTTCAGGCAGTGAGGAAGGAACACATAGAGGGGAAATACCCAGGACTGACGCGAACGGGTGCCCGCAGTTAAGCCCAGCCACTTCATGAGCACATGACATCCGCCAACTACAGCCAAGGAGTGCTGTGTGTATCTAGTAGCTTACGTGGCATTTTTTCATTTTTGGTGCGAAAACATGCGGCAGGGCAGGACACCCCTTGACTGCCAGAGCCATCCTGGTCTCGGGCACTCCAGGCTAGGCCAGTGGTAGGGCGGTCCCTAAGGCAACATCAGAGGGTACACACGGCTGCTTTCTAGCACCCAACCTTCGTTCATGTAACAACCATGAAGCATCAGTTCTGCTGCGGACTGCGGTACAGCAGTGGGCCTGACCCGCGCGGGGCCTGCCAGGCTCGACCGGTAGTGAGGGGTCCGGCTCCAGCCACCCTCACAGGCCAGGAGCTGGAGCACTCAAGTGGGAAGGCGGTGAACAGTCTTCGAACCTGTTTTACTTGTGTACCTTCCTACCAG